ATATTAACTATGTAATTATGCAAATTACTTACAGAAATACAATGAAATAAAAGCACGTGTTTATATTATGGTTTATATACACTGCATGCGCAAGCATTTCCCATAAAGTCAGCCATGTTGAATTTATCGTTCCATTCAAGTTCCGTTTTCCTAAATACGTCGAGAACGAATTACGAATGAATGAAAGTACTGTTTTGTAATTCAACCGACGTTACTTAAATCATTCCACAAAAGATGATTCGTACATACGAGTTTGAAAACATTGTTAGACCGTGAAAGAATAAGTGGTTTGAAAAATGAAAGTAGCTACCATTAGGTAACGAAACGGTAATGGGAGCGTGGCTGTGAAATTTAAAGGTCGTCAGTATAAGTGTGATTTTTTGTTATCGCCGACTCGAAAATGGAGGATTTTAACGACGGTGTCGACGGTAAATTGGCTTTCCGAATGCGGAAAGTCAATCCCGAACAATTCCATACACTCGTAAAAATGCATCTGTCCTTCGAATTGGACCTCAATACCGAGGAGTAAGTTAGCGATCGTGTTAACTACAGATTTCGATTCAATTTCAATAAATTGTTTCAATTGTATAAATTGTTGTGTCGTTTAGCAACGACTGTGTCAATGAGAAGGCTAAACTGAAAAAGTGGGGCCTTCTGAGTTTTACGAAGAAACCTAAGTCGACTATCAATTTGCAAAAAAGCGAAGGTGCTTGTTTAACTGAGGACGGGATAAATCAAGTTAAACAACTAATAGAATATTTATCTAAAGAACAAAGTAAGGAAAAATTTAGTTATCATTGTTACACCATTTAAATTACATTTAATAGCACTGTATTTGTTTATTTTGAAGATATCGTTCAAGAAGGTATATTTAGACGCACTGGTAAGTTAACGAGGCAACAAGATTTAAAGACTGTAATGCACCAAGGCATTCCACTGAATCTCAACGATGGTCGATACAGTGTACACGATTGTGCGTCGGTATTAAAAGGTTTCCTGGCTGAACTACCTGAACCTTTGTTATCTGACTTGCATTATCCTGCTCATTGCCAAATAGCTGGTAAAATTACCAAGAAACAAATTGTATACGTTTACCTACTTTTTACTTTCCTCAGTTTTAAGACTTATCAATTTTAGAATTGTGCAGCTCCGACTTAGATGGGAATGATGCGAGATTGCTAAGATCTTTGCAATTACTGTTGCTTCTTCTACCATCCATAAACAGAGTCCTGCTTAAATGCGTGTTGAGTTTACTAAATAAGACAGCCAGCTTTGAATCTAATAACAAAATGAATTGCGATACGCTCGCTACTCTTTTTACACCGCATTTAATGTGCCCAAGAAAATTGTCACCTGAAGCGTTACATATTAATTCCCAAAATCTGTCGTGTCTGGTTGCTTTCATGATTAAAAAGGGGAATGAACTGTTCGAAATTCCACCGAAGCTAGCCACAGATATCAGAGCTTATTGGGTAGAACAAGAGAGGAAGTTACTCAGTCCTACGAGCGCAAACGTAAGTTTTTACTGAATCAGATGAACGTGTAACATTTTCATGTTGTATTTATCCTCGTGTCTGTGGTTACAGTTAAATGAATCTCTGCCGGATACAACGGGAACGGCGCATACTGTGTTCAGTTTCGTAGATCATAAATTAACAGCGAAGGCAAATTCTACTCAGGATACCCAGGCGGCTTTAGCACAGCTTTACGCTCACATACAAGCTATGCCGGAATCGGCCAAGAAACGCAGGCTCGTGAAACAATTTAACAAAGAGAATGGGCAAGGCACGCCTAGGCAAGCTAAGAACTTTCGGACTAAAAGCCTCGGCGATTCGATCAAGAAGCATATATTCCAAAAGAAGATTTTAGGATACAAGAAATTCGATATTAATATAGGATGTAACGTCACCAGGTCGAGTAGCGAGGAAAACATAGTCTCAATGGTAAGAAATTTACAGTGTTCTAAAAAGTTTAGACCGAACTTTTGGGGCATTTATTATTTATTGGGGAAAGCTTTTATACCGGATGAGGCACCTAATTTTGCCGTTTATGAGATTTGAATTATACGGCCATGAAAAAGTAAGGCATTTAAAAAAAATTCAAAACTGTATTTCCAATCTCGTAAACGTCTCCGCTTACAAAGAAATCGTGTAAATCAAGTGATATCTCTCTTGATATCATGCAATGTTTGTAGAAACAATTTTTTATACAACGCATAATTTAGAAGTTATTCAAGGTGGCCAAATTATATGCCTCACTCTGTATAATACGAAACGATCTACCTGAAATTTAATCTCAATCTCTCATAAAATTCTGTATACTCTCTGTGTTATGATCGATTAACATAAAATAACAGCATGACTGCATAATTGTCATTTGTCCGCATGTATCGTACAGAATCTCGAGAAATCGCTGCTCAAGAGGAAAGTGTTACTTAGTAAATCGGACGACGAGCTTAGCATAGAAAACAGCGACACAACTACGGATAGTCTTATTCACGCTAAGCATATTAGCAATAGTACCGGAAGCCTGAATACTCCTATGTTAAGGAAGTATAAAGACAAGAAGGCCGTGTTTATGAGATTCGTAAATATAAAGGAAGAACAAGTAGACGATCAGTATCACGATTGGAACACGTGTAACTCGGAGAAAGGCTCATACATAGACGAGTCGGTAAATTCGAAAGCAAGCGACGAAGACGCGTCTTTACAGCAACGAATTAACAGCACTGGATCAAATAAGGATACAGCGAGTGATACACTTAGATTATCTAGGCAATCAAGCGAGCCACCGAATATGTATTCCCAGCAAGATTCATTGCACGAAACTGATCAGAATTCGCTGCACAGGCAATGCTCGGAACCCACATTTTCAACGTTAGATAAAACTAGTAACGAAGACGCGGAATGCCCGTCGAAATTACCTGAGAACAAGAGGATGTTAGGGCATTCAAAGGTCGAGTCACAAATTGATAACGCATGCGTTCACATGTCTCCTGTTGTAAAAAATAGGCTTTGGAATGTATATGTTGCGCACACATCAACGCCGTCGAATCTCTTACGCAAAAGTTTAGTTACTAATGATTACATGTTAACTCCTATTACTAACAATGATAAGAGCATGAGTCCGATCACGCAAAGCGCGACCAAAATGACGAAAGCTATGCAGGTATATATGCTTATTATTATTTTGTAATCATTTCTTCTTTCGTTTTCTATTTACTATTATTTATATTTTTTGTTTGCTTTTATGTACGATTTATCTTTTTTAATTAATTATAGGAAACAATGATGACGCCGCGATCTAGGAAGCCAGTAATGATGGTCTCTGGCTCGAATCTCTGCAATCTCGCGTCCGTTGATAACAGCTGGGATCAACGAAGCATACTTAATAACATGACCGGGTCGAATCTCGATATCATTAACTCTATGAATACTACTTCAATTTTGGAGAACACTCAAAAACCGAACAGCACAAACGATGAAATTGTCGAGAACGTCGATTCGGAGGATAAAGAAAATTTGAACATCGACGGGAACTCGATGGAGAAACAAAGATTCGTTACGTCGATCGCGGAGAACTGTTGCGCGGTCAGACAACAGAGCACTATGTCTATAACGAGCACGTTCCGAGAATATTTACTGTCTAGGAGCGTGTTAACCGCTAGTCCCGTTGATCTCAGTTTCTCATCGCGTACAGGAGACTTCGATCAGTCGGAATCCGATTTAAATATTTTGCACGAGGACTGTCTCTCCGAGAGTTTGCTTCGTTGTCTAGACGGGGGTCAACCGGAATCGGACACATCCGGTATCGTGTCCGGTGGTACCAATAGTGCGAACAACTCGTCGGAGAGGAACGACGAGGTAGCGAGTTCGCCGCGAAAACGGGCGACCAGTTTGCAACGCAACGATTCGAAGAAATCTGTGAAGGAACGAACGCCGAAGAACTCTGCGCGAGGGCAAGGTTTCAAGCACAAACAGTTAAGCGAATCGACGTTGAACTCGACCAAAATGAAGGACGTGTTCCAGGAGACCTCGTTTTGACATTGTAATAATACGCTCGTAGCATAAGTACACCAAATTTAACGTATTTCGATTCATTATAGTGTTCATACGTTAACTTATACCTTTACGTATTTTCTTTTCCGCATTTTTGTACATTGTTACGTTTGAAAAATATGTTAAGAACCTATGGCATTGATAGGTTTACTGATTAAGAGCATTCACAGGTGAAACAAATTTTCCAAGTATAATTTTACATCATCATATACTTTCCCAGTGAAAACAAGTCGATACGTGAATATGTGATATATTCATATTTGTAAAATGAATCATTTTATACTAAAGTATACAACATTTAATTTATACGCCGAGACAAAGTTTATATATTGCATATTTTGTTAAATTATTCATTAGATAAATAAAACTTTTTGCACAAGGAAACACGGAGGATCGTATGTATGCATTTTTGTTGCGTTTGCAAATTCATGTTTTTATTCGTTTATGCAATAGAATCAACAAAATACAGTAAAATAATAACGGTAGAAAGATCGTGTATCATGTATAATACAATTATTATCATTTACATTCTATCACGCGTACAGAATCGATATAGAAATATGAAATCTATACAAAATCACGTTGACGATATTAACAGTAATTATTTTTAGAATTTCCATTGTTCTACTATGTAATCGTTTTCAACTTTAATTTAAAAGAAAAATAATAGTCTTATGATAATTTGTTACTGAGTAATCATCTTTCAGACTTGGACAATCTCCGACCCAAATTTCGCGATGCCATAATATATTAATCTACATATTTATTTACGATAGGACAATATGCTCATACTGTTACTGTTAGAAAAAGACTTATGCTTCGAAATTATGAGGATATATGATAGAATATTCGCAACGTGGGACAGAGACACGTGTCAGAACGTATCGTCATGACCCATATCCGGGATAAAGGAAAAGCCTCGTTCCTTTAAGGCTTTATTGATCAGTCGTTTGCGATCTTGTTTCAATTCCTGCTCTCTTCTCTGTGCATCCAAAATATCATCGACAGATACCTCGGTCAATGGTAAATCCTTCTCCTTGTCTCTGTCCTTTAACAACAAATATAGTTTCGATGAAGCTACTTTATAGACACGTTCTTCAAATTAGTTTTATAACTAGTGAAACATTACTATCTCTCCCAAAAGTACAACGTTCTCTCCTCTGACGATAAAAATGCCTCTTGGGATGTCTCCATATTCTTTACCAACGTGAATTCTCTCGATTGTACGATGAAGCACAATATTAGCAAACTGATCAACGCTTCTAAGATATCCAATTAAAGTTCTTCCATCTCTTAGTAAAACCATAAGCTTTTCTAAATGATAATTACGATACGTCTTGTATTAATGAAAATCGTTCTTGGGAAGGGAATTAAATGAAATTTATGAAACGTTTAGCTAGAAAACGACACTGGTCTCTAGATTTTTAATAATATAAATAATAATATTCGTGACAAGTATAAATACTTGTACATATAGTTTTATTGTATAAGTGAATAAATGGAAACTTTAATATTAGTGAAATTTATTAATATTACGATTCAATTCAGGTAAAAATAGTAAAATATTTTAAGAACGACAAGCCGGTATAACCTAGAAACTGAGATAATCAACGCGAATACGTACTGTCGAGTTCTCCGAGAAGAGACGCCGTTCCTGGCAGAATATTCATTTTGCAATGCTTTTTTATTATGTTATATATTAGATTGATTTGTATTAAAGTGAAATCGGAATAAATGAAGACGTATTACTTATGCCCGATTAACCTGCAGCGGGACTCGCAGTCAGAATCATCTCGTCAACGAGCTTCCAAATTATTTTTACGTACTATCACTGAATTATAATAATTTCGAAGAATCCATTGATTAATTATATTATTTTAATAATTTCTAATCGATTGGATAAAAGATTTGTTATTAGATAAAATCCACTGCAAACTGTAGGTAAAATCTGTGCGCATTAAAATCAAATTATAATTCGTTCAGTGTGTAAAACATTAACTTATTATTATTATTCTTTTATTATTAGTCTTTTATTACATATTTAAAAATTAGGTAAATCAAGAAGGAGAAAAATATTTTTACTCCAGTACTGCCGCAGATATTGGAGCCGAGCGGTTTTGCGGTCGTAAACGCTAGATGGCGCCACGTGTAACTCCACAGGCTATTATAAAAAATCGCAATTATGATCGTGATTAAGTATAATCACGATTCATGATTTTTTAATCAACGTGGAAAATCACGGTTAATGATTTTTAACCATAACGACGATGAGCAAACAACCAAATTTTCCATTTCCACCCTTTTTTTACTCATGCGCGACCAATCAACACTGTAGTATGGAGTATGGCTGTTGTGTGTACGCTATATACATCGTTTATTGTTGGAATTGTTTATTTAACGTATAAATTGTTTCAAAATTCGTTAAAATAAATCGATAACCTCCGATTGTATGTTACAATAGAATTCAATATTCCCGAAGGATTGTTGTAATCGAAACCATTTACACATTTATGAGAGTTACAGTGTTTAATAAATTGTAAATATAAATAGCAAAAACAGTTCGCATCTGAATATTAATGTACCCAATTAATGAATCGAATAATTATTCTGAATTACACGTTACATAAATGAAAGTTGCAAAGCCGGAGTAAACATTGTACATCAAAGTCTATCGTGATTAATGAATATGCGGCTGTTTTATAAAAAGATAGCGAATAGTGTTTTATAATTACAATACGTTCGTCATAATATCAATCCTTTCTTCATAATCTAAACATGTTTTCTACGATATTCAACCTGCGGAAAATGTTAGAGGACATCATAGGTAAAAATATTACATGCATAAACTCTCAGTCTTTGTTATTCAATTTTATTCAACGTGACTGTCCACTTACGAAATAATTTCGATTTCAGTTGAACATATCGACGTGGATTGTACAGTCTGGTTGACATGGCTTTTAATGCCACTTTTAATAACGTTCTTACTTCCATTTGTTATCGTCGTACTATTATATTTAACTGCGTTAATATTATATGTATACAGATTACACAGGTGGGTTACTGTCGGTCTGATTATATTTGATACAGAGGAATGTAGTAAATTCTTTGATTTCTACTATCTCTGTCTTCTTTTTCTATCATTTTTGCGATAGAAGTTATAAGAAATCAAGACGTTTACTATATTTAATACAGAACTCCACATTTTCATACCTAATAGTCAATTTTATTTATCACAGAGTTAGATTGAGGAATGCATATGGGACAGATTGGAGAAACGCAGCTCGTAATGTAGTTGCTGCCGTTTGGGACGCTCACGGTTGGATCTGGTATGGTAAGTAAAATCATATTCTAACACAAGCATTTTTATGAGTTCTAAGAAATTGTACAATTTTTAGTATTTGTATAAATTTTTTCCTAGGATACGAGGTAGTTGGATTAGAAAATATACCTCAAAACGAGCCAGTACTTTTTGTATATTATCATGGAGCTATCCCTATAGATCTTTATTACTTTATATCTAAAGTATTGCTTTTAAACTCGAGATTGATTCACTCAGTGGCGGACAGATTTCTGTTCAAATGTCCTGGCTGGTCTATCATTTCCGACGTGCTGAAAGTCATANACCATACTGTCCATATTCTACTCAATTCTAAATATTAGTCTTTATATTTTCTGCGCGATCTAAAAATAAAATATTAAGTGACAAAATTTCGCATTTTTCAGGTCGCTGGTGCGCTCAATGATCTGATAAGTCAGCATCAAAGAATACCTGGGAATATATCATTGGCTTTATTAGAGAGGGTGTATAAAGCAAAGAAAAAGGAATCATAAGTATTAGCATTTACTATAATATTCTAACGTTTTATCTCATCAAGCCAAGAACTATTACCGTACTTTATTAAGTTTTCGGAAGTTATACATTTTACTCACGGCGCTGGTTGTTAATCGTCGAACGACATTTATCGAACTTAAGAGCTTGTGAAAGTTGAGGTCCATTCCTTCCAAGCGAGATCGTACTTAAGTTTTAAATCTAATAATAGTCCGTCTTCAGTTATCGCGTAGAATTTTTATATGTTAAATTTTTTTATATTTTATCTATACAGAGTTTGTCAAATAAATATCGGGGCAATTGTGTTTGGCCTTACGCGCAATTAGTGACTGGGCGCATCGTCACAATAAGCGTCCAGGCATCGGCGATAGTCCCGATACTTATCGGACAAACCCTGTACGACTAACAAAGTGTTAATTCATTTTATACATATCGTTTTTACTACAATCGATGATGCTATTCGGACAATTTGTATATGTATTTTCTATTGTCAGCATTTAAGGTACGATTGTGATCTTTTCGTAATTCCATGAAATGCAGCACTAATATTTATTCTTTTATTTATTAACTTTATACAAGAGGAGAAGAGAATAAAGGTCTGAAAAACTGATATCTATTTATATTATTTTAAACACCGGCAATACTCATGTTTCATTCTTTGTATAAAATAAATTAGAGTTAAGTATACAGTAATTAAGTAAAATAGAAGTGAGGCAAGATTGAGTGAGTCGTGTACGAAAACGAACTCATTTCTTGGGTGCAATGAACGATTTATTCAAATTTACCGGGACCGGAAACGTCCTCATCGATCGTTGCCTGTCAACCGGAAGAATCGTCAACTGCTGCGAACCTGGCGGCGGCTTTACCAGTTAAAATTCCTTTTCCGAGTCCCGAGGGTATCCGCTCGTTCGGGTTCGGGTATCTTGTTATATTCAGCGAACGGCATTGCACTGGTTGGTGTACCTATCGTTTTTTGCCAGCCACCCACAAGGGATCACGTTCACGCGAATTCTGTTTACCGGCGCGGAGTAATAGACTCGATTAAATAAAACTGATCCGCCTGTTCGTCGCCGACCCGTTTTTCGTGTCATAAAATACGTAGTCATGGGCGTGGATGTGGAAGTTCTTTCTCCCGGAGACGGTAATTATTCTGCACACGATATATTCCGCTATCTCGCGTTTTACTTATCGCATCGCCTGTCCCTCCCGCTTCACCTCGTTGTCTCCCAAAGATCTCGTGTTTCCATCGATTTCGACGTAATTTCGGTCACCCGTTTCTTCGCTAATACCGGAAAATATAATCGCCGATGCATATTTATTTACAATCGGCAATCTGTTAATAGCATCCTTCCTCGCCGGTCTCCACCAAATAAGGCGATTTCGATCCTTGCCGTTCGATAGAATTACGAAAATCCGATTTCGTACAATAATAACGTAACAGTCTTTTTTTCTAATGGTGTTCCGTCTGTGTAGGTCAGACGTATCCGAAAACCGGACAGACCGTAGTCGTTCATTACACAGGTGAGCCATTTTTTATGTCCACGTGAACGCGTGGAGAATACTTCGAATTTATTAAAATACATTTTCAATCAATCTTGATTTAAGTGTAACGTAATAGAAATGATTTATAGATTTATTTCTGAATGTAATTTAGTTTCGCATCGTCATGATCGTTTTCAGGGACTCTCGATAATGGGAAGAAATTCGACTCCAGCAGGGACCGCGGAGTGCCATTTAAATTCAAAATAGGTAAAGGAGAAGTTATTAAAGGTTGGGACCAAGGAGTTGCTCAAATGTGTGTAGGAGAACGTGCTAGGTTAACTTGTTCACCAGACTTTGCCTACGGTAGCCGAGGACATCCAGGAGTATATCCTTTAATGCATAAATAATTTCAAAATTATACATATTACATACAGTGATTTTTATTAATATTCAGGCGTGCTTCAAAATTGTAAGGTTTCACAGAAAATTAATCCTTTGCACTGGAAAGCCTTTTGCGCTCGGGCGAACC